AAAGGGGTAAGATTTCTTTTGTGTAGGGAATGTGTTGATGGAAGCTCCCTGTCAAATGAATCACAACTTTCGTCAATTGTAGAGAGAGAGAGAGAGAGAGAGAGAGAGAGAGAGAGAGAGAGAGATGAAATAACTCACCACAATGGTCCTTCGATCTCCGCTAAGTAATGTGTCTATGATGCGACGATCGATGCTACTTGCTGCTGACACAAGCATCCATGGCGCAACATTGCCTACCGTGCCACGACCACTACGCCCTTCGTTGCCACCAGAGGCTGATGTGAGAATCCCCTTCTTCATCGCGTGGAATGCACCGATAGCTATCGGATCCTCGAAGTAGTCGCTCGCACTTTCGCTACCGATCGAGATGGAGATGATGTCCACCCCATCTGCGATCGCATGGTCAAAGGCAGCCAACAAGTCTACACCTGCACACCCCGCCAGCCAGCAGACTTTGTATACCGCAAGTCTAGCAGAAGGCACTGCGCCTCTGGCCATCCCTCCGGCAAGGCCGTATAGGCTGACATTACGCACGCTTCTTCCTGCCGCGGTTGAGGCAGTATGGGTGCCATGACCTTCATAGTCTCGTGGAGAAGCTTCATGTGTCGTGTCATTATAACTATTGAAGTAGCGTGCTCCGATGATTTTGCTAACATAAGACAGTCGGCGTTAGAAAAGTGCTTCGTGCAAGCAATAACAGAGATGATGAATGAGAGCATAGTAGGTGTGTACTTATTGCATTTAAAGTTCTCGCAGGCGCCCTTCCATCTTCTCGGCGGAGGTCCAAATCCTTCGTCCCTGAAAGATGCAGATTCCGGCCAGATACCAGAATCGATCACACCAACGATGACATCTCTCTCCAATGGCAAGTTTCGTTTCACGTTCACAGGGAAGCTTAAGAAATCCCATGACCTCGTTGTGCTGGGTTGAAAGTTTTTGCTTGGGAATACCGAAACAACACCCTTGATTCCTACATACAAGAATGGTATTTAAGATAGAGAGAGTGACTACCAGCTAGAATTATGGTGGTAAGTATGATTATATCAAGTATGTGTACCAGCTATTCTTTCTTTCTCTTTGGCAGTAAGTCTTGCTGCCAGTCCATTGAAGCTTCTATAGCTATAGATCAAAGACTTTGTGGAAGAACTACATCAGATAGACAAAGTCATCAAATCAAGTGTAATCCTTCAAACTTGTTAAGTTGCAGAAATTTTTGCAGGAGACAAGAATAATTACAGGCCCTCGAGCACTTGATTTAGTAGATTATGGTGAGGCTGTGCTGAGTAATCCGAAGAGGGCGAATCTCCCATGTACACAATGTAAACCTGCAAGATAAAATCAAGTCATTACACGTCGGTCATGGATATACGTCTTATAGGATTTGCTCACCTTTCTTTCTTGGTCGGCACTAGCAATGGATATGAGCAGAGAAAAGGAGATGAGGATGGGAAGCGAGAACAGTATTAGCGTTGAAGAGCTGATGACGGCCATGTCGAGGTTTCCTATGTTTCATGAATTCATGTCTTACGCCTTATATATAGGTTTCCAAGTCTCTTTAATGGACACGGTAAGACGTCGTTCAAGTTCTGCTGCTATTGTTCTCTGATCGTTTCCATGATTGAGATGATTAGCCTACCAATCATCAAAGTGATGGTGATGAATCCTTCAAACCATGTTCCTTGGCCTTACGACTTGTTACCAAGTCCTCAGGGAATTAAGAACTGGCACAAGGATGGAAGGCAATTAAACATTTGGACTGCATATAATTCATGGATTTCGTATACTGTTTGCCAGCGAGTTATCTAAATAAATGGGTTATTATCGAAAGAGATGAGAGAAAGCAATACCTGCAACACTCCATAGATTTGTTTTTGGTCGGTTCATGATGACCAAGTCTTTGCCACATACACGGAGAAGCACTTCCATTCGTGTGATGAGCATCGACGAAAACAAAAGGACTATCTATTTCTGAAGTGTCTGTATCAAGCATTTGCGTGCGGTAGAGAGGAGCTCTCTTTGAATTCGACTCCACATACTCTCTTTGTATTCGTGTGTATTCATCTAGTTTTGGGGCTTTCGAATTGTCACAATCCAACTTATGGAATAACTAAGCCATCTAAATCACTGATGTAAAATACTTCAAACTCA